GTTCGGGTTTCAGGTGTTCTGTGTTACTCTTCTTAATACCAAGTTCCTGATGTTGAAGTGTCGAAGGTTCGCTCTTCGGTTGTAATATCTTTCTATCCGCTGTTTTTGGGTAGCCAGCTGGACTAGAGCGTCCTCGCGCATCTCATCCAGTAATTATAGGCTCGTGCTCATGGCTTTGCCATTTGATTCTTCGGTTATATATCGGAACCTGAGGCTCGGTTCTCCCAGCTCGAACGGTATTAGTGCTTTGGCACCGTAGACCAATGAAAATGGGGTGGCCCCGGTACTGGATTTTAAGGTCGTGTGATACGCCCACAAGACTTCGGACAGGATTTCCTTCCACTTCCCTTTAGCATCGGTCAACCTTTTCTTAAGGTTTTGAAGGATTGTTTTGTTCGTCGACGCTGCCTACTCGTTCCCACTAAGGTGATAGAGTGTTGACAAGATCTTCTTGATCTTATGGTCCTTGAAAATTTTGCTGACATTGCTGCCGATGAAGTGCTTCCCGTTATCACATACTAAAAAATGGATAACAATTAAATTTATATGTAGTTTTAAGGATATGCGGATTAATTCAATACAAATGATAAATGACCTTAGATTAAATAGATAAAGGACGTAATAAATTGTCAAACCAATAAGGAGAGTGATCCCAGACTCAGTAACGTCTTAATGAAATGCATGCCTTCAATCCCGAGCTCACACTAATGAAGAACTGAAGAACAAAAGTAAGAATTTTGAATAATATAGAAAAAAAAGGGTTTATTGTCTTGATATGCGTGTTACAATGTGTCCCTATAAATAATAATCTTTCCCCTTTTATATAGTAGAGGAGTTTTACCCTAAGTACAATTCTAAAAAAGGTAAAAATCTTTTGTTTCGCCGATCACCGATACGAGCCGAGATTCACGCCGCGATATCCAATTAGGCACGGACATCATGACCCTTTATTAGTTGTGGCGTAGTTACTTGGTAATGTTCTCCGAAGTCTTCAATCTTCAGATCGACCCTCGAGGATATGACCCTGATATCCCCGAGGGCAGGTACCTTGCCCGAGCCCTAATGCGAGGGGTTCTTCGTTCTGACTCTGATACAATACGGTCATGTTCCTGCTCCGATTGGTTCACCGGGAAGATAAGTCATGCAGCGGGCTCGGTTTTACCCATATACAAGGTTCACACCTTCAAACGTATGGAAATCTGAAAACAGGATTGTACCAGATGGTGTTAATGCTAAGGTTTGATATTCACATCTCTTGTTCGAATATAAAGCAGCATCTGAAGTTCCTTCTCTATGTCTGTGAAGATTTTGATCATCTACATTCATTACGTTTGTACATTCTATGTGCTCACATGTTGTGTCCCACTGGTGGTTATATATAAAGGGGAACTTTGAAACAACGGTAAAGACCTATAGGTCAGGAATTCGAGTCGTGAAATCAGCCACTGATACTTGCATCAGGGTAAACTGTCTACATCACACTCCTTGGGGTACAGCCCTTCCCTGGACCTTGCGTGCTTCGTGCATCAGACTTTCCTTTTTACTTGTGGTTACATATGTCCTTGGCTCTTATAGATATAGGCATGCATGATTCCATAGTACGAGACTGGAGTGATTTGATTGTCTTCCATGAAGACCTGATAAAAGTTTCTTAAAGACTTAATTGACATTGAATAAATCTGTCATTATACAGAATTATTATGTAATTCTAGTTAGAGGTGATCCAGGCCAATCCAACAATAGGTTCAACTCATCAAGAAAAAAAGAGTGCAACACGTGCTTTCAGGCCTAATCAGCTACATTCTCCTTTTGGCTATTGCCTGCAAGTGTTAGCAAAATAAAATAAATAAAAGAAAATGAATGACGGCGTACCTTAGCAGTAGTATCATTTTAAGTGGGTCACGTTCTAGTTGTTTGGTAGATGTGTGTCGTTTCCTGCTTCGAGTTTGTACGAACCTTTTCCGGTAATCCCGATGACTCGATACAGACCTTCCCAATTCGGTCCTAGCTTCCCTTCGTTCGGGTTTCAGGTGTTCTGTGTTACTCTTCTTAATACCAAGTTCCTGATGTTGAAGTGTCGGAGGTTTGCTCTTCGGTTGTAATATCTTTCTATCCGCTGTTTTTGGGTAGCCAGCTGGACTAGAGCGGCCTCGCACATCTCATCTAGTAATTATAGGCTCGTGCTCATGGCTTCGCCATTTGATTCTTCGGTTACATATCGGAACCCGAGGCTCGGTTCTCTCACCTCGAACGGTATTAGTGCTTTGGCACCGTAGACCAACGAAAATGGGGTGGCCCCGGTACTAGATTTTGAGGTCGTGCGATATGCCCACAAAACTTCAGGCATGATTTCCTTCCACTTCCCTTTGGCATCGGTCAACCTTTTCTTAAGGTTTTGAAGGATTGTTTTGTTCGTCGACGCTGCCTACTCGTTCCCACTAAGGTGATAGCGTGTTGACAAGATCTTCTTGATCTTATGGTCCTTGAAAATTTTGCTGACCTTGCTGCCGATGAAGTGCTTCCCGTTATCACATACTAAAAAATGGATAACAATTAAATTTATATGTAGTTTTAAGGATATGCGGATTAATTCAATACAAATGATAAATGACCTTAGATTAAATAGATAAAGGACGTAATAAATTGTCAAACCAATAAGGAGAGTGATCCCGGACTCAGTATCGTCTTAATAAAATGCATGCCTTCAATCCCAAGCTCACACTAATGAAGAACTGAATAACAAAAGTAAGAACTTTGAATAATAGAGAAAATAAGAGTTTATTGCCTTGATATGCGTGTTACAATGTGTCCCTATGAATAATAATCTTTCCCCTTTTATATAGTAGGAGAGTTTTACCCTAAGTACAATTCTAAAAAAGGTAAAAATCTTCTGTTTCGCTGATCACCGATACGAGCCGAGATTCACGCCGTGATATCCAATTAGGCACGGACATCATGACCCTTTGTTAGTTGTGGCGTAGTTACTTGATAATGTTCTCTGAAGTCTTCAATCTTCAGATCGGCCCTCGAGGATATGACCCCGATATCCCCGAGGGCAGGTGCCTTGCCCGATCCCTAATGCGAGGGGTTTTTCGTTCTGACTCTGATATAATACGGTCATGTTCCTGCTCCGATTGGTTCACCGGGAAGACAAGTCATGCAGCGGGCTCGATTTTATCGGTATACAAGGTTTACACCTTCAAATGTATGGAAATCTGAAAACACGATTGTACCAGATGGTGTTAATGCTAAGGTTTGAGATTCACATCTCTTGTTCGAATATAAAGCAGCATCTGATGTTCCTTCTCTATGTGTGTGAAGATTTTGATCAACTACATTCATTATGTTTGTACATTCTCTGTGCTCACATTTTGTGTATATATAAAGGCGAACTTTGGAACAACGGTAAAGTTGTCTCCGTGTGACCTATAGGTCAGGGATTCGAGCTGTGAAATCAGCCACTGATACTTGCATCAGGGTAGGCTGCCTACATCACACTACTTGGGGTATGGTCCTTTTCTGAACCTTGCGTGCTTCGTGCATCAGACTTCTCTTTTTACTGGTGGTTACATATGTCCTTGGCTCTTATAGATATAGGCATGCATGATTCCATAGTACGAGACTGGAGTGATTTGATTGTCTTCCATGAAGACCTGATAAAAGTTTCTTAAAGACTTAATTGACATTGAATAAATCTGTCATTATACAGAATTATTATGTAATTCTAGTTAGAGGTGATCCAGGCCAATCCAACAATAGGTTCAACTCATTAAGTTGTTAGGATCGCAAGACATGAAATTATGGGTTCAGAATTTAATATTGATTGAAACTTTAGTGCCTCTTCACACACATATTCCCTATCGAAAATATTAGGTTCAGACGATTCTGTTATTTATAGACTGCGTTAGCCTTTGATTGCAATACTATGTTATCATCATATCCTATCTGGTATTTTGAAACTGGTTAGCATGGTAGATAAAGCTAATTTATTACTTCTGTTTTTTCTTTTTGGTTTGCAGCTTCTTGGGTGCCATGAACCTTTAGCTGTGAGGCAACCAGGACGAGCATTTGACTGTCTGAATACTGATCATAATGAATGTGATACGTTGAGATCAGGGGCGGATTTATAGGCAAAAATATAGGGTATGTGAATCCACAATCTCTCATCAAAATTATATATTTTATGTTCATATTCTCTAAAATTAATATAATATTAACTGTTGACACTCATACTCCAAGAAGATTGAATGGTGCACTTGTTTGAAGGTTGAGTTAATTACCAAGAGGAATAGGGATCAATTCTCACTTAATACATTTTTTTCTCCTTAAAATTCTAGATCCGCCTATGGTTGAGACGAGGGGTACTATGTACATATATCATGTGGTACTTGGTACTGGACTTTCGGCATCTTTTTTAATAGCCTTGAGGTTGCACGCACCTTGATTAATTTTATGAATTACTTATTACCTTTCACCTTTACAAGTACCCAGAGGCGATGCAATATATTAATACTGGGTTTAACTGAACTCAATACTTTTGACGCGAAACATAAATTTATATGTAAAAATCTAATAAAATTACAATAAATAGTAATTTCGAATCTATAACTTTAAAAGTACAATGAGCTCGATGCTAAAAATCTTAAAGGTTATAACTCATAAAGTTTATCAAGACTCGAACAAAGAGATAAAAATTACCAAGTATTTTTACGTTATTTTTACTTCTGTTAAGACTTAAATTTTGAACCGGCCCGAGACTCTATGGTTCTCAAACTGTTTGGCCACACACTCAGATGTCTCAAATATTGTTGTTTGCACTTTTTCTTTTTGGTGCAAAAAATAAACACTTGTCAAGTTCCCGCCGTATTCTTTACGTTCATAACTAGTTCTAGACTTCTAGTGCTAGTATTTATCTTTTACCTTGTAAGGTTCTACACAAAAACTGATAAAGACAACCAAAATGTTAAAAAATGGCGGTGGAAGATATAATTATAAATATGGGATATATTCAACAATTTCATTTTGTTTTCTTGTTTACATATGAGCTTTAGCTTGTTGCTGGAAGTTGCAGAAACAACAAAAGTAACAATACTCTGCCATGGGAAGAAGTAAAGTTTTCTAACTTCTTTTCAGTTCATTAATGGCTACGTTATATATGTAAATCTGAAACATTTTATTTTCTTGTACTAAAACTGGATTAGGAACTTTTGCAGTGTCTTTTTTTTTCTTTTTCTTTTTATGCTAGTATTATTTAGTAGTCAAGTTTGGATTTTTGAAGTTGGAGAAGGATATTAACATGGTAACTCTTCTGTATATTCTTTTTGGGTGGGGAATTTGCATTTTCTTGGGTTAAAAGAGGAGGAGCTTTTTTTTTTTTTTTTTTTT